GCGTCCATCTCCGCGACAACCTCAAAGGCTTTGCTTCGCTAAAACATCTCAGCTGTCCACTAGGCATGCTCTTGAACCACGATGACGACAACTTTGTGGAGCGATTGCCATCCTCGCTGCTGACGTTTCGAACGCCAGTCCGGAATCACACCGAGGACAAACAGTGCCTGGAGGCTTTAAGAGACGTGGTAACCTCTTATCGGGAACATGTACCTGATTTGGAAGAGGTTCGGGTGGTTGCTCCAGAGGCTGCAACATGGTTTACATATGATTGGGAGCCTCTTGTGAAGCTCTTCTCGGCTGAAACAGGCATCAGCTTCGTGGTGGAGCCTGGAGACACTGATGACGATGCCTTCGAGGACTGGGATGATCATGAGACAGACTCGTCGGACTCCTCAGATGAGGTTGATCTGTATGGCGACGAGGAATGATGTACTAGTATTGCTCACGATTTCACGATAACGGCCTTTTCTGTGAGTATTTTTGCTTGTGTACATGGACAGAAGTAGGATCAGGGACCCATAATAATATTAATGCCTTAGAAAATGCAACGCATTGTACAGCCAGTTTTTCAGCGGGTTCCAAATTGTGATGGCCGATGCTGGTCGGTACCAAGATGTGTCCTCACCTAAGGCAGCAGCCTTGCGCAGGCCACATCTCAAATGCAAACTTCGCAACGTCGCCGCTAACAAAACGACATAAATAAATGCGAGTGTAGACTCTTCCCGCTATACCTACAGCAATCGTTCACTCTCTTCCTCATCCTATCACAACGAAGGATGTCTTCCACCGAAGGCGACCCCAAGCCGCCAGTCAAATCCGCGCACGCAGCACCAGAAGGAGAAGAGCTGAAGCAATGGAAGACTTCAGTCCTCGCCATGATCGACAAGCGTATCGACCTCTACCCACGACCGCTTCCATACAACCGAAGAGTAAGGGCCACTCGCGCGGTGGTTTTACTACTCGGCAGGATCAGGCAACTCTGGAGGAACCTGCTTCGTACCTGGCGTAGCAAATTTGCGTTGGCATCTTGGTTCGTGGATGTAGGACAAGACCAGCGCCCAATATTCCTGGATTCAGATCGCATCGTCACTGCAATCGAGAAGGCGGGCCATGTCCCTGAACTCGTTGAGAACATCATTCGCTTCGCCGATGCAGAGACCCAGATGCACGCTGCCTGGAACGTTTCAACTCTCTGGAGACATACCGTCGCGCATATTATGACCACTCCAAACTCATTTCGTCCATCACTTCCATACGAAGTTGTGGAGCGTGGCAGTACGCGAAATCTGGATGCAATGAGTAGTCTTCCCGAGCCTAGTGACGAGGATTTCCAGAAATTTGAGCAAGAGATGCTGCTCTTACGTGAGTTCCAGGCATCAAGAGACGCTGAGATCGCCGCACGAGATTACTCATGGTCCGGGATATATCGACCTTATTGGCCGGCTCGCATTTACGCGTCGAAGGCTCTACCTGATCATCTCAAGACCTTATACCATTTGGTCAGCATTCGCTCTTCGTTGGACTCAAATACAAATGCGTGGCGCGACTTCACACAGTTCAAGATGAACCCTTACTTCCAAACTGTGTTCGTACGGCAGTTAACGGAGTCGGTCGGAGTGTATGAGTTCAAATTTCAGCCATTGGACCGAATCGAGAACCTCGTTTTTGGAACCACCCCTTACCTAGGAGCCTTTCGTGGACTAGTTGGCCCTATGCAGTTGACACAGCCGCCCTGCAAAGCGATAGAGCTGCGTATCCAAGTACCATTTCAGCATCCGGATACTACTAGGGATTTCGGATTTCTATTATCTACCTATGATTCGATGAACACTATTGTACACGTACTGAACTCAAGCGGCATAACGTGCGAACAGCTATTCGAAGCGCTCGAGGAATGTGCCGAGCCGGTGCTGTGGCATTGGCGAAGCTGCGCGGATCAGTTCCGAGAGAACGTCCTCGGGTTAGAACACTACACGAATGGCATATGGACTTTGCGCGGAAGACCAACGATATACATTGTATTGAGCGACATTCGCCCTCGCCCGTTGAACGTATCTTCCAGTACCATCGACGTGCCTTCTATTATCGACCGCCAGCTGGAATGGATCCCGAAGGAGTTGGTTCGGACGATAGAGCACGTGGAAATTCGTGATGGAAGGCTTCGGCGATACCCCGCTGATCTAGAGAGTTGACGTCATCATCGTCTTGTCTCCATTCTCGGTATAACGACTTGCGACTGTTGTGCATCTACACGAGGCGGACTGAACTGAGGAAGCCTCACATGAAGGCTCTCGAGATGTTCCGTACGACGCGATAACGCACTACCTGGGCAGCTTTGCGACATCGGTAGCAGATCATCCCAGGTTGTTCCCAGCCCCCGCCTCGGTGGCCGAGACGACATGGAATTATTCCGCCGCCTACTCGCCTACTGAAGAAGCTGTTACATCTAATAATCTATTATGCGACAATTCACGTCAATGTTTTCGACCCCTCCATGCATCGGTTTCGCCCGTCTACTCGCCTCTGACCCGTGCCGTCCCCACAAGCCGCCCACTCGCCCCTGACCCGCGCTTCTGAATTGCCGATATTGCCATGCGCATGCGCGCACGCTCAGGGTCTGATACAGAAAAGGTCGGTATGCGAAGTGGATACATACGTAGATAGCTTCTCCAATCCATCTCGGTACTTCTACGGCCCGTTTCATCGTTCCTTTACATCGTTCTTATCATCAAAAAGCAACAATAACTTCATCAACAGCAATTGGCAGTACATAGGTCAAAAGCAAAAATGTCTAACCCCTCAGTTGTCAAGCCCGATCCGTCCTACGTCGTACCCCTCCTCATCAACGGCAAGGAGGTCACCACCAAAACCACCTTTCCCGTAACATCACCCTCATCGCACAAAGAAGTATGGAGCTCTTCGTCCGCCTCGCTGAAAGAGGTCAAGAGTGCCGTTGCGGCGGCAAAGGGCGCATTCCCCACTTGGTCCAAGATGAAGCATTCCGCTAAGCGCAACATCTTCCTCAAGGCCGCCGACGTGATTGATGCGCGCGCGGAAGAATTCGCAGACTACATGAAGATCGAAACCGGTGCTGCGGACAACTTCAGCAATGGCTTCAATGTGCCCAAGATGGCGGATATGCTGAGAGATGTGGCCGGCAGGCTGAGCGCCGTAATGGGACACATTCCCAGCTGTGAAGAGGAGGGCACCAGTGCGTTGATCGTCAAGGAGCCTTATGGTGTTGTGCTGGGTATTGCGCCTTGGTAAGTATTCCTACGTTGGTACACGTACGTATGCGCAAAGCTGATGAGAGCACCAGGAACGCCCCATATGTGCTTGGCATGCGATCGATTCTGTACCCTCTAGCTGCGGGTAACACCGCCATCCTGAAGGGTAGCGAATTCTGTCCTCGTACATGGTGGGCCATTGGCAGCGCCCTGACCGAGGCTGGTCTTCCCGCTGGTGCGCTCAATGTCCTTGTCCATCGTCCCGAGGACGCGGCGCAAGTCACGACGGCCTTGATCGAGGAGCCCGCAATCAAAAAGATCAACTTTACTGGTTCCACCGCTGTTGGTCGTATCATCGCATCAACCGCTGGCAAGAACCTCAAGCCCGTTCTGCTCGAACTAGGTGGTAAAGCGAGCGCCATCGTCCTCGACGATGCGAACTTGCAGACCGCAGCAGTACAATGTGCGCTTGGTGCTTTCCTGCATGCAGGCCAGATCTGCATGAGCTCAGAACGCATTCTCGTGCACAAGAACATCAAGCCGCAATTCATCGAAGCTTTCAAGGGCGCCGTTGAGGGCATCTTTGGCGGCGACAAGCCCGCACCCATTCTCGTAGCTGCACCCGGTGTAGAGAAGAACAAGACTCTCGTTGCCAATGCGGTCAAGAACGGCGCGAAAGTCGTACACGGCGACCACGAGAAAGATGAGAAGCACCCTGAGACGAACGAGGCTTCGGCCACACGTCTGCGACCCATCATTGTTGACGGCGTAACCAAGGACATGGATCTCTTCCACACTGAGTCTTTCGGTCCTTCCGTCTCCGTCATCGAGATCTCCAGCGATGAGGAAGCCATTGAGATCGCCAACGACACCGACTACGGTCTTTCGGGCGCTGTGTTCACAGAGAACCTTGGTCGCGGTCTGCGCGTTGCAAAGCAGATTGAAAGCGGGTAAGTTCAGTAAAAACGCATGATGTGGCGTGAATGGTTACTGCGGGGAAATTTGATGGCTAACATAATGATACAGAGCTATCCACATCAACTCCATGACGGTGCACGATGAGTGGACCTTGCCGCATGGTGGTGCAAAGGCAAGTGGCTTTGGCAGGTTCAACGGACATTGGGGTATCGAAGAGTTCCTGAGGATGAAGACTATCACCTACAAAGAGTAAGAGTATCTTTGTGTGTAGCTTGATCAAAATATTTCTACTCCCCAGCTCGGCAAACGGGAATGATATGAAGTTGAGAAACTGCGGAGCACGACGTGCGACATACAGATTGAAGCTCGGTTTGCTTTCTCCTGATTCAGCCAATCACATAGCCTGCGGATCCGATGTGGATATGCTTGGAATTCTTTCCTGACTTGTCCTTGCCATGCCACATTTGTTCGTCGTGCGTCCCTCTAATACCGGTTCAAGGTATGTATCTCCATGTACGTTCAAGCCACAGGCAGAGGTAACGCAAGGTCCATTGCGAAGACTATATCTAGCAACGACCACCATAACGAACAGCGAAGTCATTCCTCAACGAGAGAACACAGCCTCCTGCTTGCAACGGGTGGCTTTCTGAAGGGAGTACTCATTCCCCGCACAACACGCTTCTTACTGAGAATGGCGGAGTACACATTACCATATTCGATGTCAAACACAACGTGGACGGCGAGATAGAGTTGCTTATAATCCTGCGGGCATAACCCCGATTTCATCCCTTCGTTGACACCGCGATCCAATCTACACGAAGTCGCAAAAAACCTTCAAGCCAAAACGCCATGATGCACACTCCAACCCTCCTCCTCACCCTCCTCCCCTTCCTCTCCCTCTCATCATCCGCCACCGCAGCCTTCCCCTCCCTCTCCCTCACCGACATCCAATTCTCCTCCTACGTCCTATATGTTTCCCCCTCCGCACAAGGGCCCCGACAAGGTGTCATCGGCTTCACCATGACCAACAGCGCCATCGAAGTGCCCATCTCTTGCAGCGCCATATCTTACAATGCCTACGCCCTCTTCTCCTCCTCCGTAACCTACGAATGCAAATTCGCGCCTGCGGGAGGCGAGGAAGGGAGAGAGGACCCGTGGTGCTACACCAACAGTGCGACGTTCAATTTCGACACGACGAAACGGGATGAGAAGAATGCGACGATTCATGATTTGACCGTGCAGATGAGTTGGACGTGTGAAAAGTATGTCTTTCGCTTTCCTACCTTGTGATAATATTTCGGCTGACGATTACTACAGCGAGGGTGTTTACGGTCTTTCCGCCCAGACTGTCTTGGACCTGGACTGTAGTGTTTGGGCGTGTGAGAACCACATGTGGCCCAAGTACGATATCTTCTCCAACACTAGTACATACTGTGCGCCGTACAATGTTAGTTTCGGGACTGGAGATGTCGAGGTGCTGAAGCTGGAGTAAGAATGAGGAGCTGAAGCCTAATGGTCGTCGGGCCGATGTAGAATTAGTGCTGTTGTAATGAATGAATATTGCTGCATTCTAGATCTTGCCGGCGTTCTGGATAGCATTCTTGGTGTTGTAACAGAACTGAATACTGCTGCATCTAGATCTGGCCGTTGTTTTGGGTAGCCCTTGCTACGATGTACTGCGCTGATCTTTTGCGGCTGAACTCTTCGGAGGCTTGATGCATGTGTAGTTTGTTGTTCTAGGTTTCCTTTAGTCTACCAGCGAATGATCTGGATCACGGTAAACTGTCCTGTGGCTTCGGTTAGTCTTCGATGTGGCTGGCTGTCTTACTGGTCACGTCTACACGATAGGCGCAGGGTAGCCTTGATCTAAGTTGTTCACCCCGCATTATGCAGATTCTGGCGTTTCTTGTTCGACTCTGGTCTAATCATTGGAAAGTGCCTTATCAAAAGAAACTCGTCTGCATTTCCTCGATGCAGCGACTCCTGATGGAAAGGAGAACGAGGCTAACTCGTCAATAAATTGAGGCTCTGGCGATCCATCATGACGAACTCAATCGTCATTATTCAATGACCCTTTAGCCCAGGGAACGGGAAACAGCGTAATGTCTACCAGCTGATCAAGCGGGTGTAGACGCCGACATAGAAGATGCGCTATCAATTCTCCGGTAGCCTGCTCTTGGTATTCGATCGGATGCGAACACCCTGTGCCACACTGGTGCTCTTTGAATTTCTCGTGGGATCCAGCTAAACTCGTACAGGTCACGATCGCCCCACCCGTCACATCCATCACGTCGTAGAGCTACATTGGCGCGCGAGCTACCCTTTGTTAGCCCGGCCTAGCACAGATCGTGAGATGGGACAATAGAATTGTGATTGGCTTTGTCCGGCCTTGTTAGTAGCTAAAACCCAAGACTGTGGAACCAAAGACCGTTCACTGGGCGGATTTTATTGTACACCAGTCGAGCGGACTGCTCTGATTGTGCGATCGTGATATCTATGAAACATAGGTTTGTGGGCATTTTTCGGCATTGAGGAGCCGATACGATCGTCGTGCTTGCAGGTCAGCGAAGGATCTTTTTGTGGCAAAGCGTCCACGTATGGGGAGAGCTCGCAACACGACAACTGCTCTCGCAAAATCTGGAGTACGAGAATGTCCGTGAGAAATTGGAAAATCCAGGGGAGTCCCCCAGTCTGGATACAGCCGGCGATAAAGTTCGATTCGCGCATCGACCCAGAGATTGAAGCTGCACTATTTCGGGCGCTTTCCATCAGAGGCCGTGCGCTTCCCGCGTCAAAGTGACGCTTGCCATTGCCGGACCACCAACAGAACTCCTTTCCAGCCATCTCCAGGCTGATCACACGCCACGACCTTTTCTCAAGCTTGCCAGCCCATACCATGCAGGAGTTCTGAAGTTCCGTGCTGGCGGAGTGGATCTGGGTGCGCTGGGGATGCCCGCTTGTCCGCATGCAGTTGGAATGCGCATGCTAAATAAAGCCAGACTCAGCCCGCGCGAGGGGTGCGGCTGAGTACCACCACCGTATTTGTCTTGCACGGTACACTTTCCCTTCCCCACTCCATTGTTTGGTAAGAGGTTGGTCGGCCATTACTTTCGTTTATACTCTCGTTCGCCGTTAGACCTACTTTGGAGATTCACGTTTCGCACCCAGGACTTAATCAGAAGATTCGCATAGAGGGGTAATAGTAAGATGATGGCACTCGAATCACCACAGCCGCTTTCGAGGAAGAAGTCGATATTCCGACGTTTCTCCAGACGAGAACGCGGCGATGCTCCTCCGTCGCCATTCCTCATGAGCGAGGGCCTACGATCACCGCATCTACAATCGTCAAATCCACAGTCGCCTAGAAGGCTACAACGCCGCCCATCACACCGACCGTTGAGCCTTCTTACACCGCCAGCGTCACCTACAGAGAAGAGTCCTATCGTAACTATCGATGCTTCGAAACCTCAACAACCCAAGATGGTCACACACATCCAGCGCATCGAGTTGCCAATATATCAACGCAACCGGAGCGAATTCACACCTCCACCCTCTCCAGAACCGCGGCGACGCATCCTTCCCAGCGCGCTACCTACCATGCCATTCCCCGGCAAGCCTCTCATAACGTCGTGGAATGTCTTCCTTCCACCATCACAAATATACTCGTTATATCTTGGGTATGCCCCACGGGACATGGACGACAAGTGGTACATCTACAGCGAGGGTCCTGATCAGGCTGGAAAGCTAAAGGTGCACTTCCATCGAAGTTGGACTGGCATGAAGGTCGCAGAACTGTTTGTGGTAATGGATACAAAAGGCGAGGGTGCTGGAAAGATTGTTGGCATCAAGTGGAATGGAGGTGAAGAGATGAACTGGATGAGCGAAGAAGAGGCCAAATACATGATACGGACGGCTTGCAGGTGGCAATTAGCCGTGGATTTGGAGAAATGAAGCCACGCGACGGCCAGGCCGAGAGCCTGTTTCTGTTCGGCGGCAAGATGTTTCCTCTTTCCTTTTCTTGACGCGCATTAGCCCGCGGCTTTCCTTCGATCCGTACCGTTTGGCGTCCCATGAAACGACGTTCCAAGCATTCTAATAAGATCTCTATACCCGTTGAGGGTATACAAACCTCTAATATCAAGCTTCTCTTTTCAAGTACCGCATTGGCGCGCGCCTCGTTCCCGTGATCGGTAGTCGTAGCGTGAGATGTTAACATACCATCGATCTGATAGGTTCCCCCACTGAGGGACTCTCAGCATCCGACCAAAAGTAAAACATGTCGATTCAACAATCCGATACCTTCTCTCTGAGGTCAAGCGTGTATACCGGTGGAGGTATCGTGGTGTTGGTGGTATGACTTCTTGCAGCAGCCTCGCGCAGGCTAATCAGGCCACCCTGCCATCGCGCCCTCCGGTTCCTATGGAGGCATACCCAGATCGTGTGATTGGATCGTGAGTGCAACCAACATGTGGCACATGAAGCACATTTTTCTTTTATCGCATTCTCGACTTTATCCTCTTCGCCTTCATTGCAAATGCCAGTGGCATGGTCCTTACAAAGTCTCAACATAACAATGACGGTGATGTGCCGTGTAACTAGGCTCGTGGGGTCCAGGAGCCGCCAACTGCACGCTTCCGAACATCTTTCGCGTCTTCCCTTCTTCGGTGCTACTGTTCCTCACCCACAATCCCTCCCCACACAATCCATGGCAGCGAGTGTACTACCGACAGAATTGAACCGTTCGGTCCGAAATGCAGTCCAACTTCACACCTTCCTCCAAATCTTCTTCTCCCCAGCCGCAGCGCCTGCCTGTTAATCCAAGACGGCACAAGGTCGACCCGTCGTTACGAAAGCGCGTCGTAAGAGCGTGAGTCAATTCCCAGCCTCATGTTTCGCATTGGTACTGGTTGTGGTTTCTTGGTACTACGGTGCCGATGGATGTCGCCCAGGCAATGAGCAAGCGCATACGTCAGCAGGGCTCATCGGCAGCATCAAGAACACGCGCATCGCTCAAGTCATGCACCGTGCAAACACCCGTCTAAAGCTCATCACTGACGTACGGCGCGTAGATGCAACGCGTGCAACGTTCGTCGAGTTCGGTGCTCGGGGGAGCAGCCGTGTCAACGATGCAGCAAAACCTCACGCGAATGCGAGTACCCAGCACCAGAATCAGATAAGCACTCTCTCAAAGACGAGCTCGAACGCTTGCGAGCGCGTTGTGCAGCACTCGAGACAGGGTTCAAAATCGCTGCACCTGAAGAGGCCGCCGAGATCATTGGACAGCTCGATCATGGCGGGCCAGGAACGCGTTCGACCGCGCCGACTTTTCTTTCCGTCTCAATGGAGCTCGATCAAGCCGACACGAACGATGGCCGCCTGCTTGTTGACCCTTCTGGTACCCCGAGATTCTTCGGTGAAACGTCTGGAGCGACGTTCCTGGATTACCTAAAGCAATTCATGCTTACGCTGGTTCCTCTGACTTTCCAGCCCGAGTCGGCGGATGGGTCTTCATTCGTTGCATCAATTGGGCGTTATCAGACATACGACTCGCGACCTATCCCCAATCCAAGCGTGGATCCGTTATGGCTTCCGGATCAGGACGACATGGCATTGATGCTTGCCCAACTGCGAGCCTACATCCAGGATGGCAATGGCGAGTTTCTGTCTGGCGGAATATACTGTAAGCTATGCGTGGATGTTCTACTGTGCTTTCACTAATCTTCACCCAGGGTGGGGCGATCTCACCCAGTTCCCCACGTCTGCGGCTCCTTCCGTCTTGCTGAGTGCAATGACGACAGACGACACTCACCGAGGCTTAGCCTTCTACCATGTCTGCTTCGCCCTAGCTACGTCTTTCGGTCATCAGTCTTCCCGACGCTCAGATCAGCATGCGGGAGAGGCGTACTTCAAGCGTGCGCGAAAGCTCCTCGGGAATCCATTAGATACCGTGCGGTTCACCCTGGATGATGTTCCTGTATTGACTCTTATGGGTTTCTATCTCATCGAGCTGAACCGCAGAGACGCAGCATACGTATATGTAAGAGAGACTGAAGCACTGCAAACAAGACACGCACTTACAATCGCCAGGTCAGTTTAGCGATTCACATTGCCATTATACATGGTGCATTCAGGTCTTGCAATGATGAAGCGAGTAAACGCACATTCTGGACTCTTTACATATTAGACAGATGGCTTTCTGTGCTGATGGGGCGCCCGCCAACTCTACTTGATGAAGCTATAAGGCTGCCTCTACCATGCGATGTGCCGTAAGTATCTTACACATGTAAATATGAGAGCGTCCGCTAAACTTCCCAGCTCAATGCCGCCATGTGCAGGTCTCCGAGCACACGTAGAGTTGTCGCGCATCTCGGGCTACATCGTCTGCGAGACGTTCAAGATCGCTCCACGACACTACCAACGAGGTTACTCGACCTTGAATGTAGACAAGGCTCTGGACCAACTCGAAAACTGGAAGCTCAACCTACCGCCGGT